CATTAGGCAAATAATATACAAAAAGCGTACACACACATACTTAGACTTAGCCCCACAATTGGGCGTATAACAAAAACATTAATGAAAGACAACCAAAGCATAAGCCAAAAACCTAACAAAACTTTACAAAATGCACGACTTCAGCTAAGTGCCTGGACACACTGAGGTTGACAAGAGAGAGACGAGCCTTAAGGGTTAGGACTGGCCTCCCGGTTGATTACCTACAGAAACAGACAAAATACAGAATGAGCAAAACTCAGTGAATAATAGTACATAAATAATGTAATGATTAACTTGAAGGATAAAGCATATAACGGCAGAGGCAGATGATTAACTTCATTCTGTAATTATTTCCAAAACGACCATGGGCCCAGTTTTCTAACAGAGTGACTTTAAGTCCAGTAATATACCGAACGGTCTCAAGCCTAACATACCATACAGATTGGCCATTGGCCCAGATGTAACAGAATGGCCATAGGCCTAGCAGATACAGAACGACCATCAGCCAAGAAATAACAGAACGGCCATCGGCCCAGAAATATCAGAACGGCTTTAAGCTCAGTTCATATATGTATAGACTCAAGAGGTGGCTTGCACGAATTCTAGAGGTGGCTCCCACCAAAGTGTAGCACTTAGTTCCGTTCAAAAATCATCAGGGCAGATTAACTTCAGAATCATATAGAAAGTACACACATTCTTTCCATTATTCACATGAATTAACATAGTTAATATAAGTTTAATAGAACGTTGCTGATAATTGTTAGCAAAAAACATTAGGTAAATAATATACAAAAAGCGTACACACACATACTTAGACTTAGCCCCACAATTGGGCGTATAACAAAAACATTAATGAAAGACAACCAAAGCAAAAGCCAAAAACCTAACAAAACTTTACAAAATGCACGGCTTCAGCTAAATGCCTGGACACACTGAGGTTGAAAAGAGAGAGACGAGCCTTAAGGGTTAGGACTGGCCTCCCGGTTGATTACCTACAGAAACAGACAAAATACAGAATGAGCAAAACTCAGTGAATAATAGTACATAAATAATGTAATGATTAACTTGAAGGATAAAGCATATAACGGCAGAGGCAGATGATTAACTACATTCTGTAATTATTTCCAAAACGACCATGGGCCCAGTTTTCTAACAGAGTGACTTTAAGTCCAGTAATATACCGAACGGTCTCAAGCCCAACATACCATACAGATTGGCCATTGGCCCAGATGTAACAGAATGGCCATAGGCCTAGCAGATACAGAACGGCCATCAGCCAAGAAATAACAGAACGGCCATCGGCCCAGAAATAACAGAACGGCCATCGGCCCAAAAATATCAGAACGGCTTTAAGCTCAGTTCATATATGTATGGACTCAAGAGGTGGCTCGCACGGATTCTAGAGGTGGCTCCCACCAAAGTGTAGCACTTAGTTCCGTACAGCACTTTGTTCCGTACAAAAATCATCAGGGCAGATTAACTTTAGAATCATACAGAAAGTACACACATTCTTTCCATTATTCACATGAATTAACATAGTTAATATAAGTTTAATAGAACGTTGCTGATAATTGTTAGCAAAAAGTAAACACATTTCACAGATTGAACGATTCTAGAGATACGTAGATATCGTAGTTCCACAATGCACACACGTTCCATTTATTCGTTGTGATTCAATATAGCTATCTTGCAGATAACAAAATGTTAGTATTCATCATCAGCAAATAACAAACATGCTGCTCAATAATACTCTTAGGTTTCCCCATGGTTTATCATAAGTTAACATAGTTGTCCCACAAATAACAGAACAACAATATTAATGATGAACAGAAGGTAGATGCACCATTACTTTACTAGGGATAGAACCATTCACAATTTCTTTCCATCAACCAATTCTACAGTCTTAATAGTTCGTGTGCCATTCTTATGCGGAGTCATAGGCAATTTATAGATTATAGCACATTACAGATAACCATTAATCATAACCGAAATGCGGAGTAGTTACAGAGCCATACTGACGTACACAAATCTTTCAACGTTCACATAAGTTTACATCGATTACCAATCAACATAAACGTTAATGTAATTACTTGTAAAGGACAGAGTGTTAATAACAAGAATATTAATGGTAAGTACATGTACAATTACAGTACTACTACTCACAGTGATCGGCTTCCGGTAGTAATGGGACGATGTCCTCGTCTCGACCTTGAGTTGAATTCCCTACAAACCCTCTCAATTTTTCCCAATTTCTTCCTTGTGGAACTCTCTTCTCCCTCTCAAATTCTCTTCTCCTCTCACTCTCTCCAGGAGATATTTTCTAAGTCAAATGGTAAAGAGAACACATATATATATAAAAGGTGAATAGGACAAAAATCAATCGTTTAATCATCCCAAATTGAAATTTCACAGAAATGCTTATTATTACATAAAAATTATGTTGATCTCAAATGTAAAATCAATTTCGGATTATCAAGTCTCTAAGGCTCTCAATTTCTGATCCAAACATTCTAAGTGTGACAGATTTTTCTTTTATGAGACAAATATGCATCCATAATTATATGATTCACTTAATTAACCTTAATTTCACATAAAATTTCACATTAAGCATTTAAATGCACATATTAAGGGACTAAAAGCATACCAGAAAACATGTACGAGGGTCGGGTTATTACATTAACACTCTGCAATCTCCCTCTTCTCTTTGTTTCTTTGATCAAGAGTTGTATAAAACAAAAGATTGTTGCTCAAGGCATAAGAAAGAGACCCCTCATGCTGAATGGTTTAATCTCTTTGGAGGTTCATTACCAGGGCATTACATCTCTCTTATGCTAAGCATAATCTCTTGTTTGACACTTCCCTTTATCACCGGTGCATTACTTCTAAGGGACTAATTTTCTAGTTATACCCTTGGAAATTACCAAGAAAAGGTTCATTATAGCTTATTATCAAGTTTGGATTTGGAGTCATTATTGCTCGTTTTGGGATTGACTCCGAATTCATTATCGCTTGTAAATGAGTTTGACCCTTCTTTTGTAATTTCCCCCATAGAAAAGGGCTTGAAAAGCCCATTTTTTGAGTCAAGTCATGCTTGCTACTATTTATTTCTTCTGGACTTAGTGGACGTAATCATCACCTTTGGACAAAAAAGGAAGAAAAGGTAAGGAAATGGAAAGGTAAAGCAAAAAGGGCTAATAAAATTGGAGTAAAAGAGAAAGATACTAAAATTTGGTTAGGTTCAATCGAATTTTATACTAAACCTATTACGTCTTGAATGATTGCATACCATTCAAGTGATGTTTGATGATTCATGAAGCAAGTCTACCCCCTCATTTGAGGTAACTCCATGATAGAGAGGAGGTGTTGTTTGTCTTTTGTTTCATTTTATTGAGCTCTTGTCCTATCACTTCTAAGATCATCATGTAACAAATTTGCAATGATTGATGATTTGAGAACAAAATCTACTCCTTCCTTGATCATCTTCATGATAGGGAAGGGTAAAAATGATAAACATCTCCTCAAAACACTTTGTTTTTGCTCTATTTCAGCTCTGTTGCAGCAGGGTATTCCCTTGAAACAGTGGCCGGTCGGCCATCATTTTGTACGGCCGACCACTTCTTAGGGTCAGCCGGCCACATATTTTGCATAGGCAATGGCATTTTTATAGCAGAACATAGCAGAATCTGAGACCAAAACAGAATAATTTTTTTAACTGCAAACAAAGCAAATTCTGGCAACAAACAAAGAGGTTTCCGAAGGATGTTCTCGGTTGTTCACATGCGGTTCTTAGCCTCCTATTTGAATCCATTAGATTAATAGCTTTCATCTTCGTATGTTGTAATTAATTAGTTAGTTAATTCACTTGGATTTGTAATAATTAGTTTGATTAGGACATTCATTCAGACCCTCTTATGCGAGGGCAAAACTTGTAATATTTTGTATGCCTTCCAACCCCATTTCTTTCTCCCTTTTATTTACATGCTTACCATGGCAGTATCATGTTTTCATTTCATATCATTACCATGCGTTGTATCCATTTATGCATGCATTGGGTTCGTTTCATCATTCTAATATCATTGTCATTTCCTACTTACTTGAATATGTACGTTACCGCATACTTTGAGTTGACCCATATGACATGATAAGTAAGCCGAACCTAGTAGCTGCATTTTGTATGTGTTACATTATTAGTCACTTTGTATATTAGGAGCATGCATTTTTTCTAATTATTTTATTTTTTTTGGCTTGCCGCGATTGAGTACTAGATGAGCATTTTTGCTTTAGCATATTGCATGTGTGTTTGTGTTGCCATATCAAGCATATTACTATGAGGTTAAATGCTTATTCGAAATACATGTTTGAATGCCTGTGAATGAGGCTATTTCGCTTAAGTTGGGATAACTTTTATAAATGTACATATGTGCTTGCTTTTCAAATAGCACATATTCAAAATGCTTTTCAAACAAACATGAAATCAAAACATTTCAAAGTAGGTGACATAGTCTATACTTGTGTGCCTCACATAGTAAAGTTAGCATTAATAATCAGAAATAGAGCATATAATGTATATAAAAATTACATCATGATTGGTAGAGGCCGATCTTTGATTTGGTGAGTAGGGTGCTCAATTCATGACTTTCCTCTCTCATACCTAAGTGCCCGAGCCAATACACTTTGGTTATGATGGACAAATGGCCTTTGGCATGAGTCACGGGTTTCCTAAATTTTTCAAAAATATTTAGGTGGCAACTCTGAAATCTGGCAATGCAATCCATTTCTGGCATCTCTGATGATAAATGGGTTTTCTAAAGATTTGCTGGATTTGGACTCTCATTTGTATTTTTCTATTTCACATTGCACTTGTGAAACCAAATTCAGAATCATGGGCGTCAAAACTGTAGGGTTATCGTATTCGAGGAGACAAAACCCCTCCGAGGAGCACGAAAAACCAACTACATGGGCCTAAATGGGTTTTGGGCCTATAATGGATGGGCCCAGATGTCTTGTTTGTAGATTGTGCGGATATTTTACTTGGCTCACACTATTACAAGGATGAAACCCAAGCTTAGTAACAGTTTTGTTGATAAGAACAAGCGTTAAAAAATTGTCATGGCCATAAAATTAGTCAGAAAAGTCATTGGGGACCGAGGGTGGCGACTAGTGGCGATGTAGTGAATAGATAGGTCACATTAAATGTAGACCTCTAACTTGAGTACCTTATTTTATTTCTAGATCCACCAGAAGCTAGTGATCACTTTGTCATAGAAAAATAACAAACACTGCATCCTTAAAAAAAGTTGTTCGTATAAAAATAACTGTATCAATTGACAAGACCATGTCTCATATTAGAGTTTTGGCAGCATCAAAGTGATCATACTTTTGGGTTTTGGCACACCTATTTGGATAAGATAAAGATTGATCATAGAGGTTGATTAGAAATCCATCTTTCTAACATAGTATAACATTCAGTAGGCTTGTACTCTAGAGCCGTATGTCCTGCTCCCTGTTAACACACACAAAAAAGAGATTAATTTCACTTTCTTTTATCCTTTTAACTATTGTCATTTTTTATTTTTTTATTTTATTCTGAAATTATTAATTTTATCTATTTATCCTATAGAATGTTTTGTTTATTTATTTTTATTTCAGTTCGTATGGTCCACAAGATAAAATGTCCAAATTAATACAAATTACACCAATTTGTGGTAGGGTACATATGATCTGCATCCTTAAGGGGTGCACACCATAGGTTTTCCCATAACCAAATACCCATATTCTTCTTCACCCCTTATTTCAAAATAGTGAGCAAAAAAAATGAGTGTTGCGTTGTGTGGTGTAAATTGTTTAAATTTTGAAAAGACATTTTTGCCCATCAAGTAAGCCTTAGCGGTTACTAATTTATTTTTCATTTGGCTATGGTTTAAAAGCCGACTTATTGATTAAAAAAAATAATTTTTCTCAAAAGCCTTATCATATCTAATTGATTCATGTTTCACCAAAAAATGAACTGTAACTACTCAAAAGCCTGTAGAAAAATCATTAAAGTTAAGAATGTGCTAAATAAATTAGTTTTTTTCGCATTAAGTTTTTGTAGTCTTATTTTTAGCCAATGAATTAACCACTCAAATGCCTGTAGAAAAATCATTAAAGTTAAGAATGTGCTACATAAATCATTTTTTTTCGCATTAAGTTTTCATCCACTTATTTTTAGCCAATGAATTAGTCTTTTTGTCAATAGACAATTATCTCCAATTAGATCACATTACATCACATTAGAAACTATAGCAACTAATTAGACGAAATTGACAGAAATAGAATAAATGATGATAGTTTAAGAGATAAAAATGAAAACCACCTAATAAAAAATAAGAAGAAAAAAAAAAACATACTTCACATTTGGTGCTATTTTCATTTTTTTCTTCTAAAATTAAAAAGAAAAAGAAAAAGTGATGCAGAAAACTTTTTGGCTAATTTTTTTTTTTTTATTGAAAATATTTTTGAGCACATCTATTTTTTTAAGAAATACTTCTAAATTATTTTCTCAATTTTTAAGAACTGCTTTTCATACAAAAATGAAAGGGATAAGTGTTTTCAATTTTTTTTTATTATTTATTTTCAAAAACGTGAACAACAAAAATAAAAAATTTCAAAACAATACCAAACACATTTGAAAAATATGGAAAACAAGTGAAGACGAGAAATTTCATACCTTGACCGTAGCAAATGTCATCCGATTTGAATAAGTCCTTGTATAACTACACATTGGCAACGAAAAATAAACAAATAAATAAAATAACTTTTTTAATAAGCTTTAAAAATGAATATGAAAAGCTGCGGTGAACGTACCCCGCAACTTGGCCTTGGACCCACCATGAACGCCACTCATCAACAATGGAATAATTGAGAGCTCTAATCCATGCTTGAGTTCCCAAGAATGGAATTATCATGTCGTGATCACCACTATTTCCACCATCATTCCACCAACAACTTTCTTAATTAGTATTAGGGGAAATTACATTTTTAATTTATTGATTTAAATTTCATTTTTATTTTTTAATTTAAATTAAATAATTTAGACTCTACACCTTAAATTCAGTTTTAATTTGGTCACTTCGTTCAAATTGAAAGGTAAAATTAATAACTTTGAGACACTTGCGAAAATTTAGACAGAAGAATTAAATTGAAACATGACTTAAAATGTGGTGACTAAATTGTTCAAATTTAAACGATAGGGATCAAAGTAAAATTTTGGGTCAAATTATATAGGTGAAAAGTATTAATTACTTTTTTTTTTTAAACCAAATTATCTTTAGTTGAACGAAAAATTGGTTATGTCCGGTTAGGTTAGGTCCTTTAATGATCCAAATAATTCATTAGGTAGGTCTCTCTATACGTAGATTATTCATGAAAAAAATTAAATTGATCTAACCTAACTGGATGTAACAGAGCATATTCTGGCAGCAGACAAAGAGGTTTCCGGAGGATGTTCTCGGTTATGTGCATGCAGTTCTTAGCCCACCATTCGTATCCATTAGATTAATAGCTTTCATATTCATATGTTGTAATTAATTAGTTGCTTTACTTTTATTAGGACTTGTAATAGTTAATTAGTTAGTTAATTCATTTGGGTTTTTAATAATTAGTTTAAATAGGACATTGAATCAGACCCTCTTGTGCAAGGGCAAAACTTGTAAAATTTTGTATGCCTTCCAACCCCCATTTCTTTCTCCCTTGTATTTACATGCTTACCATAGTAGTATCATGTTTTCGTTTCATATCGTTACCATGCGTTGTATCCATTTTTGCCTGCATTTGTCATTTCCTACTTATTTGAATATGTGTGTTACCGCATGCTTTGAGTTAATCCATATGACATAATAAGTAAGTCGAACCTAGTAGTTGCATTTTGCATGTATTGCGTTAGTCACTTTGCATGTTAGGAGCATGCATTTTTTCTAATTATTTTCTTTTCTTTGGCTTGCCTCAATTGAGTACTAGGTGAGTATTTTTGTTTTAGCATATTGCATGTGTGTTCATGTTGTTATATCAAGCATACTACCATAAGGCTAAGTGTTTATTTGAAATAATCGTTTGAATGCCTATGGATGAAGGCTACTTCGCTTAAGTTGGGTTGACTTTGATAAATGTACATATGAGCTTGCTTTTTAAATAGTACATATTCAAAACTCTTTTCAAACAAACATGAAATCAAAGCATTTCAATGTAGCTGACATAGTCTATACTTGTGTGCCTTACATAGTAAAGTTAGCATTAATAATCAAAACCAGAGCATAAAATGCACATAAAATCACATCATGATTAATAGAGGCTGATCTTTGATCAGGTCAGTGGGGTGCTCAATTCATGACCTTCCCCTCTCATACCTAAGTTCCCGAGCCAAGACACTTTGGTTATGACGGACAAGTGACCTCTGGCATGAGTCACGAGTTTCCTGAATTTTTCAAAAATATTTAGGTGGCGACTCTATGGGCCGAAGGCCGTTTTGACATGAATGGAAACCATAAAAATTCCTCTTTTATATGTACTACTACTACAAGACTTTGCCCTAGTTTATGTAGCAAATGGGTTGATTCACCCCAAGCATTGCCCTAATTTTTCATTTGAATCACATTTCAATAACAATGCCCTAATTGAGGGCATTTCGTACTTCATATTCTGTGTGTTTTGACACACACACACACACACACACACACACACACACATATATATATATATATATATATGTGTGTGTGTGTGTGTGTGTGTGTCAAAACACACAGAATATGAAGTACGAAATGCCCTCAATTAGGGCATTGTTATTGAAATGTGATTCAAATTAAAAATTAGGGCAATGCTTGGGGTGAATCAACCCATTTGCTACATAAACTAGGGCAAAGTCTTGTAGTAGTAGTACATATAAAAGAGGAATTTTTATGGTTTTGAGTAAATATACTAGCTGCTCGTTGCTTTTGGATGCCTTGTAACAATGTTGAGGTACTTAATATAGGTCCAAACCTTGTCCTTGACCTTATTTTTGCTTTTGGAATTTTTATGGTTTTGAGTAAAGATTTTCTTCAGATTAAATGGATTTTATTTTCTATGTACTTGTGATCAGCTACATTCATCCTTTGTCCTTGACCTTATTTTTTTTTTTGGGGGGGGTTTTAAATCATGGGTCGCATTTCTTAGTTTTCCCTCTGGTGCATTTAAGACTGGGTGCAATTATTGATCTTTTTGCTTATGAGAAATATATCTTCCTTGATGTTCTCTAAAGTCTTTCGGAGATGCATTCATATTTTATTAATCATCTCCTATATTGCCAGTTGCCGCATCTCTTTCGCAATGCTATGGAATTTGTTCCATAAAAAATCATTATGTTCTTGCTGATCAGAATATTTAATTCAGTTTATTGGAAATTTATTTTTGGTAATCTGAATGGGGTGATTTAAATCAGGTTCTGAATGGTTTCTATTAGAACAAGATCTGGTTTGTTTGATAATAAATTTTTTTTCCCTTTCATTTGTGAATGAACTCTTTTCACTTGTTATTATAATTTATATGGACGGTTGCATCAAATTGGCATTTTTTAACATATGACCCATCTCATCTTCATTCTAATATTACCTATTTCAATATTTCCCAACACTTAACTACAAAGAATTGAAGGAAGAAAAAAAAAACGGAAGGGGAAAAACAGTGCACCTCTACTATGCTTGGGGTGAATCAAGCCATTTGCTACACTTAATTGTTTTCGTAAGTTTATTATTTTCGTAGGCATTACCTTTTCAAAAGGAATTTTTATGGTTTTGAGCTAGATATACAATTAAATCATACATATGGATAGCATTGCCTAGCGTAAATGTTTGCTTCTGTGCTATAAATAAGCATGGTAGTTTGTGGATTGATAGCATTGCCTTGCCTTGACTGGATAGCATTGACTTGTTAAATTCTTGGAAACTACATGGCAAACATAATAATTACATGTGAGTAATATTTAAACATCATTACATAAAAAAAGTACAAGGAGGCTGCTCTTTGTATGGGAACTTAGGAGAATATAACCTCGATGCTTCCATTTTAGAAGTATCGGAAATTTACGATGCTTGCATCATGGTGGCATATTGCCCATGTTGCCTCCTTAGTAATTTAAGTCCATATTTCCAAAGAAGGAGAAAGCTTGTTTATGCCCAAAGCTTAGGTTGGAAATGTGTGAATATGCATTTGCGGACATGCACAGTTGCCATGTAGAGCCAACTGTTGGAAATGTGTTTCTGTCTTTACTTTTTTTTTTAATAAATAACATGTCATGCACACACATTGTGAAGAGCATGACATGGTTTTCATTATTTTGATATATCATTCTATCATTGACCATATAGTTTCACTAGTACTAGTGCTCTACTAGTTATGCTATCTAGTGGTCCAAAATTACGGGCCATTTCTTAAATTAACTTGTTTTAGAACTAATCGTGTCATAAAGTTCCACCCTAAAAGAGATTTACTAATGCAATTTTTGGTGAACATTCTCATTATTTAGGTTCGATTATTAATAAGCAAGATGAGGTTGGTTGGAGGTGTTATGATTTATAGAATCAAAATATGTTAGCTCAAGTGAAAGAGTACTTTTGGCATATTATGTAATCCATGTGAATTTGTTTAATTAATCAAGTATACAAACATTGATAGAGTAGAATAGTGAAAAATGATTTATGTAGTCTATCTCACTTGAATAGGACACAAGCCTTAATTTTAATTTGGTTTGGACTGTGGCAATGCATTTTTCTATTGGTTAAATGGTGGATCATCAATCTTACATGACAATAATGTTTTCTGTTGTAGGCAATGTGAGGTTAGTTTGCTTTTCTAACATAAATTCTTCAACTAACTAAGGCATATTGATTGCTAAAGGAAATTGTTTGCTAGTGAAGATCCAGTCATCCTCTGATCAACTGCTATTATGTAGCTTGGGTATTTTTTATGTTAACACTAACAGTTAGGGGTGAACCGCTGATATGTACCATGGGTAGTTTTTTATATTAATACCAACTGTTAGGTGTGAAGAATGGAACATTTCATTTTGCATGACAACGTGGTAATTTGAAATATACTTGTATAATCATATTACTGTACAAGGGATGCTTATCTTGGACTTATGAATAGGGATTTTCTGCACCAAACAACTCTTTGGCTCAATTGATTTGTACCCGAAGTTGACATCCTCTTACTTTTGTTTCACATCCAAGTCTTTCCTACAAACCTGTACTGTCCAACAAGATGAGGGATTTTAACTTTGTTAATTAAAAATTTCTTTTCAATGGTGTTTGCACTCGCTTTTCTCATTGTCGGTAAATACATCATTGCCAACTACCCAAAACCAGGCTGCTTGCTAGAGCTTGCTGGTCTACTCTGTGGAGTTACCACTTTCTTTGTGGCCATCACCGTCTCTTTCTCTCTCTACCTCTAGCTCATTTACCTGATCGTGTATGCTCTTTCATTGCTTGCCATTTCCATCTGCAATTTCCGTCGACCACTGTGAACCCCTAATGGTAATCCTGTAGCACAGGATTGTCATTCAGGTTGGTTTTTTTTTTTTTAATGGATATTAATTATTAGCTGCTTTAGGTCACATATTATAATATATGTTTGTGGCCACTGTTAGTGTAGGACTAGTAGTACTTAAACTTGCATGGATAGGATTTTGGAGTTTTAACTTCCCATGGTAAGTATGCTATTTGTAAAATGCTCCGTCACCTTTATAGCCTTGTCGTCAACCATTGCAGCCTCCTTCGTCCATCATCTTCTCCAATTGGCCCTCCCTCACTATTCTGATTTGTGAGCGTCAAAAAGCCTATGGCTTTGACAATCATCTCTTGTTAAGAAAACAAATCTGAGTTTAAGTGGTATAACTCTTAACCTATTTCATTGTAATAAAAGTCATGCTTAGGCGTGCTCCTAGTTGCAAAATGCAGCCAAGCACTAGCCCAGCACCTTCCGCGTGGCTAGGCGAGGCAACATAAAGAAGGCCAAGCTTGGTGTGCTTAAGGTTCGCGATTACTTAAGGCAAAGTTAGGCGGAAGGTGCTGTGCCTGAAGGGCTTGCATGTTATATTTTGCATTGCTTTATTTTTTTTAAACATCTCAACAGTGATTTAAGTTAGTATAAGGTGTAACTACCAGGGATTATAGCTTTCGTATAAAAATAACTGTATCAATTGACAAGACCATGTCTCATATTAGAGTTTTGGCAGCATCAAAGTGATCATACTTTTGGGTTTTGGCACACCTATTTGGATAAGATAAAGATTGATCATAGAGGTTGATTAGAAATCCATCTTTCTAACATAGTATAACATTCAGTAGGCTTGTACTCTAGAGCCGTATGTCCTGCTCCCTGTTAACACACACAGAAAAAAGAGGTTAATTTCACTTTCTTTTACCCTTTTAACTATTGTTATTTTTATTTTTTAATTTTATTCTGAAATTATTAATTGTATCTATTTAGTCTATAGAATGTTTTGTTTATTTATTTTTATTTTAGTTCGTTTGGTCCACGAGATAAAATGTCCAAATTAATAGTGCTGGAAATCTAACCTAATACACCCATAGAAAAGGTAGTTTTATAATCTGCACAATCTAAATCTAAATCATATAATTAACCACTTGTCTTATGATTCACAACTTAGGTAACCAAAGGAAAACTCTATGGCTTGGGGTGCATACTATATGTACCTTATCATAAATTGGCATAACTTTATTATAAAATTTCGTAATATCAATCATAAAATATGTAACCACACCACAAATTGGAGTAACAAAAAATGTCGTAATCAAATCATGAACTTTTATTTCATGAACCACAAAATTTTGGACACTTCGTTATGCTAATTTGTGTCGAAATTACGTATTTTATGATTGATGTTACGAAATTTCACAGTAAAGTTACACCAATTTGTGGTAGGATACATATGGTATGCATCTTTAAAGGGTACACGCCATAGGTTTTCCCATAACCAAATACCCATATTCTTCTTCACCCCTTATTTCAAAATAGTGAGGAAGAAAAATAAGTGTTGCGTTGTGTGGTTTAATTGTTCAAATTTTGAAATGACATTTTTGCCCATCAAGTTGGCCTTAGCGGTTACTAATTTATTTTTCATTTGGCTATGGTTTAAAAACCGACTTGTTGATTAAAAAAAATTATTTTTCTCAAAAGCCTTATCATATCTAATTAATTCATGTTTCACCAAAAAATGAACTTTAACTACTCAAAAGCCTGTAGAAAAATCATTATAGTTAAAGAATGTGCTAAATAAATTAGTTTTTTTCACATTAAGTTTTTGTAGTCTTATTTTTAGCCAATGAATTAACCACTCAAATGCCTGTAGAAAAATCATTAAAGTTAAGAATGTGCTACATAAATTAGTTTTTTTTGCATTTGTCGACTTATTTTTAACCAATGAATTAGTCTTTTTGTCAATAGACAATCATCTCCAATTTGATCACATTAGAAACTATAGCAACTAATTAGACGAAATTGAAAGAAAAAGAATACATGATGATAGTTTAAGAGATAAAAATGAAAACGACCTAATAAAACATACAAAGGAAAAAAAAAAAAAAAAAAAAAAAAAACATACTTCATGTTTGGTACTATTTTCATTTTTTTCTTCTAAAATTAAAAAGAAAAAAAGTGATGCAGAAAACTTTTTGGCTAATTTTTTTTTTATTGAAAATATTTTTGAGAACATCTATTTTTTTAAGAAATACTTCTAAATTATTTTCTCAATTTATAGGAACTGCTTTCGTACAAAAATGAAAGGGATAAGTGTTTTCAATTTTTTTTATTATTTATTTTCAAAAACGTGAACAACAAAAATAAAAAATTTCAAAACAACACCAAACACATTTGAAAAATATGGAAAACAAGTGAAGACGAGAAATTTCATACCTTGACCGTAGCAAATGTCATCCGATTTGAATAAGTCCTTGTATAACTACACATTGGCAACGAAAAATAAACAAATAAATAAAATAACTTTTTTAATAAGCTTTAAAAATGAATATGAAAAGCTGAGGTGAACCTACCCCGCAACTTGGCCTTGGACCCACCATGAATGCCTCTCATCAACAATGGAATAATTGAGAGCTCTAATCCATGCTTGAGTTCCCAAGAATGGAATTATCATGTCGTGATCACCGCTATTTCAACCATCATTCCACCAACAACTTTCTTAATTAGTATTAGGGGAAATTACATTTTTAATTTATTGATTTAAATTTCATTTTTATTTTTTAATTTAAATTAAATAATTTAGACTCTACACTTTAAATTCAGTTTCAATTTGGTCACTTCGTTCAAATTGAAAGGTAAAATTGATGACTTTGAGACACTTGCGAAAATTTAGACAGAAGAATTAAATTGAAACATGACTTAAAATGTGGTGACTAAATTGTTCAAATTTAAACAATAGGGATCAAAGTAAAATTTTGGGTCAAATTATATAGGTGAAAAGTATTAATTACTTTTTTTTTTAACCAAATTATCTTTAGCTGAACTAAAAATTGGTTACGTCCAGTTAGGTTAGGTCCTTTAATGATCCAAATAATTCATTAGGTAGGTCTCTCTATACGTAGATTATTCATGAAAAAAATTAAATTGATCTAACATAACTGGACGTAGCAGAGCAGATTCGGGCAGCAAACAAAGAGGTTTCCGGAGGATGTTCTCGGTTATGTGCATGCAGTTCTTAGCCCACCATTCGTATCCATTAGATTAATAGCTTTCATATTCATATGTTGTAATTAATTAGTTGCTTTACTTTTATTAGGACTTGTAATAGTTAATTAGTTAGTTAATTCATTTGGGTTTTTAATAATTAGTTTAAATAGGACATTCATTCAGACCCTCTTGTGCAAGGGCAAAACTTGTAAAATTTTGTATGCCTTCCAACCCCCATTTCTTTCTCCCTTGTATTTACATGCTTACCATAGTAGTATCATGTTTTCGTTTCATATCGTTACCATGCGTTGTATCCATTTTTGCCTGCATTTGTCATTTCCTACTTATTTGAATATATGTGTTACCGCATGCTTTGAGTTAATCCATATGACATAATAAGTAAGTCGAACCTAGTAGTTGCATTTTGCATGTATTGCATTAGTCACTTTGCATGTTAAGAGCATGCATTTTTTCTAATTATTTTCTTTTCTTTGGCTTGTCTCAGTTGAGTACTAGGTGAGTATTTTTGCTTTAGCATATTGAATGTTTGTTTGTGTTGCCATATCAAGCATATTACTATCAAGCTAAGTACTTATTCGAAATACATGTTTGAATGCCTGTGGATGAAGGTTATTTCGTTTAAGTTGGGATGACTTTGATAAATGTACACATGTGCTTGCTTTTCAAATAGCACATATTCAAAACTTTTTTCAAACAAACATGAAATCAAAGCATTTCAAAGTAGCTGACATAGTCTATACTTGTGTGCCTTACATAGTAAAGTTAGCATTAATAATCAAAACCAGAGCATAAAATGCACATAAAATCACATCATGATTAATAGAGGCTGATCTTTGATCAGGTGAGTGGGGTGCTCAATTCATGACCTTCCCCTCTCATACCTAAGTTCCCGAGCCAAGACACTTTGGTTATGACGGACAAGTGACCTTTGGCATGAGTCACGGGTTTCCTAAATTTTTCAAAAATATTTTAGTGGCGACTCTAAAATCTGGCAATGCAATCCGTTTTTGACATCTCTGATGATAAATGAATTTTTTAAAGATTTGCCAAATTTGGACTCTCATTTGTATTATTTTGTTTCACATTGCACTTGTGAAAGCTGATTCAGAATTACGAGAATCTGAACTGTAGGGCTATCGTATCCGAGGAGACTAAATCCCTCCAAGAAGCATAAAAAACTAGCTACATGGGCCTGAATGGGTTTTGGGCCTATAATGGATGGGCCCAGATGTCTTGTTTGTAGATTGTGCGGATATTTTACTTGGCTCACACTATTACAAGGATGAAACCCAAGCTTAGTAACAGTTTTGTTGATAAGAACAAGCGTTAAAAAATTGTCATGGCCATAAAATTAGTCAGAAAAGTCATTGGGGACCGAGGGTGGCGACTAGTGGCGATGTAGTGAATAGATAGGTCACATTAAATGTAGACCTCTAACTTGAGTACCTTATTTTATTTCTAGATCCACCAGAAGCTAGTGATCACTTTGTCATAGAAAAATAACAAACATTGCATCCTTAAAAAATGGTGTTCATACAAAAATAGTTGTATCAATAGACAAGACCATATCTCATATTAGAGTTTTGGCAGCATCAAAGTGATCATACTTTTGGGTTTTGGCACCCCTATTTGGGTAAGATGAAGATTGATCATAGAGGTTGATTAGAAATCCATTTTTCAAACATAGTATAACATTCAATAGGCTTGTACTCTGGAGCTGTATGTCCTGCTCCCTGTTAACACACACAGAAAAAAGAGGTTAATTTCACTTTCTTTTACCCTTTTAACTATTGTTATTTTTATTTTTTAATTTTATTCTGAAATTATTAATTGTATCTATTTAGTCTATAGAATGTTTTGTTTATTTATTTTTATTTTAGTTCGTTTGGTCCACGAGATAAAATGTCCAAATTAATAGTGCTGGAAATCTAACCTAATACACCCATAGAAAAGGTAGTTTTATAATCTGCACAATCTAAATCTAAATCATATAATTAACCACTTGTCTTATGATTCACAACTTAGGTAACCAAAGGAAAACTCTATGGCTTGGGGTGCATACTATATGTACCTTATCATAAATTGGCATAACTTTATTATAAAATTTCGTAATATCAATCATAAAATATGTAACCACACCACAAATTGGAGTAACAAAAAATGTCATAACCAAATCACAAACTTTTGTTTCATGAACCACAAAATTTTGGACACTTCGTTATGCTAATTTGTGTCGAGATTACGTATTTTATGATTGATGTTACGAAATTTTACAGTAAAATTACACCAATTTGTGGTAGGATACATATGGTATGCATCCTTAAAGGGTGCACACCATAGGTTTTCCCATAACCAAATTCCCATATTCTTCTTCACCCCTTATTTCAAAATAGTGAGGAAGAAAAATAAGTGTTGCGTTGTGTGGTTTAATTGTTTAAATTTTGAAATGACATTTTTGCCCATCAAGTTAGCCTTAGCGGTTACTAATTTATTTTTCATTTGGCTATGGTTTAAAACCGACTTATTGATTAAAAAAAATTATTTTTCTCAAAAGCCTTATCATATCTAATTAATTCATGTTTCACCAAAAAATGAACTTTAACTACTCAAAAGCCTGAAGAAAAATCATTATAGTTAAAGAATGTGCTAAATAAATTAGTTTTTTTCGCATTAAGTTTTTGTAGTCTTATTTTTAGCCAATGAATTAACCACTCCAAAACCTGTAGAAAAATCATTAAAGTTAAGAATGTGCTACATAAATTAGTTTTTTTCGCATTTGTCGACTTATTTTTAACCAATGAATTAGTCTTTTTGTCAATAGACAATCATCTCCAATTAGATCACATTAGAAACTATCGCAACTAATTAGACGAAATTGAAAGAAAAAGAATAAATGATGATACTTTAAAAGATAAAAATGAAAACAACCTAATAAAAAATACAGAGGAAAAACAAAAAACAAAAAACAAAAAAAACATACTTCATGTTTGGTACTATTTTCATTTTTTTCTTCTAAAATTAAAAAGAAAAAGAAAAAGTGATGCAGAAAACTTTTTGGCTAATTGTTTTTTTTTTACTTGAAAATATTTTTGAGCACATCTATTTTTTTAAGAAATACTTCTAAATTATTTTCTCAATTTTTAAGAACTGCTTTCAAACAAAAATGAAAGGGATAAGTGTTTTCAATTTTTTTTATTATTTATTTTCAAAAACGTGAATAACAAAAATAAAAAATTTCAAAACAATACCAAACACATTTGAAAAATATGGAAAACAAGTGAAGACGAGAAATTTCATACCTTGACAGTAGCAAATGTCATCCGATTTGAATAAGTCCTTGTATAACTACACATTGGCAACGAAAAATAAACAAATAAATAAAATAACTTTTTTAATAAACTTTTAAAATGAATATGAAAAGCTGAGGTGAACTTACCCCGCAACTTGGCCTTGGACCCACCATGAATGCCACTCATCAACAATGGAATAATTAAGAGCTTTAATCCATGCTTGAGTTCCCAAGAATGGAATTATCATGTCGTGATCACCACTATTTCAACCATCATTCCACCGACAACTTTCTTAATTAGTATTAGGGAAAATTACATTTTTAATTTATTGATTTAAATTTCATTTTTATTTTTTAATTTAAATTAAATAATTTAGACTCTACACTTTAAATTCAGTTTTTATTTGGCCACTTCGTTCAAATTGAAAGGTAAAATTAATGACTTTGAGACACTTGCGAAAATTTAGACAGAAGAATTAAATTGAAACATGACTTAAAATGTAGTGACTAAATTGTTCAAATTCAAACAATAGGGATCAAAGTAAAATTTTGGGTCAAATCATATAGGTGAAAAGTATTAATTACTTTTTTTTTTTAAACCAAATTATCTTTAGTTGAACGAAAAATTGGTTATGTCCGGTTAGGTTAGGTCCTTTAATGATCCAAATAATTCATTAGGTAGGTCTCTCTATATGTAAATTATTCATGAAAAAAATTAAATTGATCTAATAATTATTATTATATAATTTCATCATATTTAACTTTAAAAAAATAATCACAATTATTTATTTCAAGCAAGTGGTATGTTCTTTTAACGATAAATCTTTGTTGTTCAAATTTTTTTTTTTAAGACAAATATAATAAAATTATATAATTACAAATTATTAGATCAATCTTCTTTATTTTTGGTAGATGATCAACACACTAAGACTTTCCAAAAATGAGTAATTTTAATCATCAAAATAAAATATGTTGTAACGCTCACAGCCGAATGGACAGAATTAGACTTCCTTTGAGGTTCTTATTTATGGGAGCCTCTGTGTACACCGCACATTAATCTCTCTACACTCATCATTTTTTAAATTATTTTTATTACCATTTATCTCTCATTGAAATTACCATTTAAGAATTGAAACGTTAAATTCTAAAGATCAATTTCCTTATTACACCCTGCCACCCATTTTCCCAGTTGAGGCCCATTGCTACCCCTTTCATCTCCTTTCCACACCATTGCCAAACCCTCTCCACTCTCTCCTATATCATCCTCCTCTTGACAACCTCATCTCTCTCACTTCACTATCCTTTTGGCCGGTCATTCTCCTCCACAACCTCCACTACCTCTTCTCACCACCTAAAATCCTAGTCGTCGTCATTGTTGCCACCTTCGAAACCCTAGATTGATATTTTAGACTCTCCTTCTTGTAGATGTGAGGGTGAGAAGGGTGAAAAAGGTAGGAGAATGACGAAATGAGTGGAAAAGTCAAGAAAAGAGTGGGTGTAGAGAAATAGAGTGAGGTTAGGGATGCATACAAGATTGGAATATTGGACACCCACTACATAATTTTTTTATTATTATTACCACCTTATCATAAAATTCCAATTTTATTTCCATTTTTAACTTTCCAAAATTAACCCTAATTCTATACCACCATCACCAGCTATGACCTCCAACCCCTTCCCACCTTTCCTCACTTCTCCTTACCACCATTTAACCTCTTTCCATCCATGCCACCCCTAACTCCATCTCTACCTTTCCCAACTCTTTCTTTCCTCTCCCCCCCCCTTCCCAGTTTCTCTTCATCTTCCTCTTCCTCTCACAACGATCCTTATCCCCTTTTCGCTTCTCCACAACCCCTTGATAGAGAAAGAGGAATCGTGCGTGGATCAGAGAGAGAGAGAGATAGAGAGAGAGAGACTCATAGAAATGAGAGGGGAAGAAAAGGAGATTGGGTGGTGTCGAGAGATGACGACTATGAACAGGAAAGTGTTGATTGGGAGGAGTGGAACAGAGATGATGATGGGGAAACAGAGAAGATGGCAAGAATGATGTTGAGAGCTGGTGGGTTGGATGGAGATGGGTTAATAGCTAGCGGGAAGATGGAGAATAGACTGTAGAAATTGAAGGTAGAGGCTAAGGACTTGGGTTTCAAATGTTAGGAATTATGATAGAATTGAGATTTAAGGATGGTGTTCGAAGTAGGGCTAGCAAGGTTGGTGGGGGTAGGCTGAACAGTGGCAAAAATGTGGGGGGGGTGAGGAAGGACCAAGGTTCTAAATATCGGCCGGTACGTGCCGTACCGGCCGGTTCGTACCGGAAAATTGAAGTGCCGAGTCAGATACTCACCGGTATACTGGTGAGAATGAATTTCGCTTCCGTACCGGCCGATTCCCGATACGTATCGGCCTGAATCCGATACGTGAGCGATACAGTTCCGATACGGTCCGGTACGGCTGAATAAATGGAAAAGGAGGAGAAAAAAAAGAAGAAGAGGGAATTAGGATGGATTTAGAAGAGAAGTATGTGAACCTGTTGAGAGATGGAGTGGTGAGCAACCTGGTAATCTTGGTGGAGGATGTACATACCCACAAATGATGCCGCTGCGGCGCCGGCGAAGAACGACGCCATTCTCACTCTCAGAACGTAACCCATCTCTCTCTCTCTCCCCCTTCTTCACCTGGGCTATGCTCGAATCTGATCGATAATGCTTTTAACCAAACAAGCGCCAGAATGAGCGACGTCGTTTATGGTTACTAGCCAAATTTTTCTTTTTTCTTTTTTTATAGGGAAACTACCAATAATTGTACATTTCTATCGAGGATTATTAAAAATAAATTTTAATAAAATTTTTACTAAAAATAATATTTTGTGATAATTATATATATATATATTGCTAAAAATTGATAATTAATGATTTTTTTTATCATAAATTTATAAATTATCGCTAAAACTTACCATTAGTAATTTTTTTGTGATGAATTTTTTAACCTGTCGCTGAAAGTTAAAAATTAGTGTATTTTTTGTTACGATTTTTTTAAACTGTCACTGAAATTTATAATTAGTAATATTTTTTATGACAATTTTTAAACCGTAGCTAAAAATTAACAATTAGTAATTTTTTTAATAATATTTGATGAATAACATCATTAATTATCATAAGATTTATTGAATAATAAATTTACCTATCATAACTTACACATAGGCTACAATTTTTTTTTCTTTTCCCTTTCTTTCTTCTTTTTCCATCCTAATTTTGATTAAAATGTGATAAATTAAGGCTAAAAGAGACCAAAAAAAATGCATAAAATTGAGTTTTAGAGGGATTGCTAATGATTTTTGAAATTTCACAGCCGCGACGCCCGATACCCGATACGTACCGGTCGATACTACCGATACCGATACTCCGCGATCGATACCGTTACGTTACCCGATACTGCGATTTAGAACTATGGGAAGGACTGCCAAAACTGGAAGTAGGTGCTAGGTTTAGGGTTTCAAATGTTACAGATGATGATAGAATTGAGATTAAGGTCAGTGTTCAAAGTAAAAGAAAAAAAATTTAAATTTTGAGGTGAGAGTTCAAAGAAAATAAGGTTGCAAAGATTGATGAATGCTATTAACAACACTTTTTAAAATGAGTATAATGAGGCAAAATAGTGTGTAAATAGAAGCACTCTTATTTTTTTGACTTAAAAGCTTTTAATGCAAGAAACATAGTGATTTCACCTGTAAATAAGGGACCTATAACCTTTGGTGCTGAGGTTTACATGGTATGGGAAACTGTCCCCAATTGTGCGAGTGTAAGACAATTTGTTGCATCTTATCCATTCCGTTATGCTTCCCTGTTTTTAGAAGTACAATTCATTTTCTTGTCATTTTCTTATAAATAATTTTAAATATAGACAAGTATGTATGTCACTTTAACCCTGAACTAAAAATTATAACAGTTAATCCCACTTATTTATTAATTTTTTTCAATTTGAACCTTAATGGTGAACGTACCCTTTCATCTATTGGAGTAAATAACACTTTACTCTCTTAAACTATCACTTAGTATCACTTTACTTCCCTCAACCAAAAAAATACTACACTTTGTTTGGTATTTCAACTCAACTACAGTTTTTGAGTTATTTTGTTTTCAGTAAAACTTTTTCATATTTTAATCAAAAACAAAATGCATTTAATTTAAATATACCTAAAACATAAAATATTTGTGAAGAAAAATCTTTAAAAAAAAGTTCACAAAAGATGAAAAACTAAAAAATATAAAGATATAAAAAAAAATTAAAACTGGTATATTTTTGTATTTCTTTTATCTTTAGTGAATGTTTTGTTAGATTTATTCATAAATATTTTACTTTTTAAATGTATCTAAATTAGAGGTACGTAAAAATATTATATTTTTTAAATATTAAAAAAGTTCACTACAAGAAAACTAAAAAACTCAAAAATAGTTTTTAAAAATTACACCAAATAAATTATCATTTTAGGCATTCCATTTGAGATATCATTTCATCTCTTTAAGAAACATGTCCTTAAAAGAATATTTACATTATATAAATTTATAATTCAAGGTCAAAAAATGTAGCATTTTTTAGTTGAGGGGTAAAACAAAGTAATATTGGGCATCGTTCAAGGGTAATTATCCTATAGCTAAAAAGGTATTTTCGTCAAAAATGTCCAAATTGAAAAACTAGTAGATGAGGGAGTTAAAGTGTTACAATTTTTAATTCAAGGAATAAAGTGATATGGGACAATATTTGAGGGGGCTAAAGTGTAATTTACCCAATAAAAAATGCATGTGTATTAACCAATTCAAAATACGTATCAATTATAACCGATACCATTGGTTCATAATGATACGACAGGTAAACTACTATAAAACACTCTTTTTTTTAATTTTTGCAGTTGATGATATTTTAAAAAGGAAAAAATTATAATAAACTCCCTTCAACTATGGCCTGTTTTTGAGTTACCAAATCTCTGAATTTCTAGTACGTTTTGCTCAATCCACTCAATACTTTTATATTGCAACTAATAAGAATTCTTCTTTCAATACAGCTATTTAAAAATTTGATTCTAAAGAAATAATTTCAAATGTACCTTTCGGATATGGAGCGCTTCTCGAACTCTGTCATTGTTATTCCAAAAATAGGAAAGTTTGTACACATTGATCTACAATCAAGGATGGCAAACAAATAGTCATAAGATAATCTCCTTATCAAACCATACTTATGGGATCATTGGGATAAAACCAGTGCAATTTCAAATGCTATATTAGAGCATCAACAATGTTGAATTGCATTGTCAAATTTTAGCTATGCCATGATACAAAAATGTAAAAGTTTGGCAACCTTGTTGCAAACATGTGGTATGGTGAAAGGTTTCCCGTCGGGGTTTGCGCTTTTGGTCTTCACCTACTTTGTGAAATACTTGTATTAGTTTTTACAAAACAATGAAAAAAAAAATTGCCAATCTACTAAAACTTGTGCCAAATTTGATACCAAGGTAGAAATGCTAAAATTTAGCAACTTCAATGATAGCTTCATTAAAGCACCAGACTGCTATAATATAGGTATGGGAACTCAAATAGCCTTCCCATTGGAGCTACTCTTACAATTGGCAGCTCCAACATTAATTTTGTAAGCTTCAAAAAGATTTTGATAGACTGAACTTTGTAATTGCCAAACTTTGCCAAACTTCTCTTTTGTGCACTAGACCATCTAATATTGGCTGTGAGAGGCTTATGTTTTCAATAACACCTGTAGGACCAAGTGTGGGGTTCACAGGCCTCTCACATCCATGCCCTGGACAAAAGCCATTTTTGCAGTTCTTCAATTTGGCTGGATTAGTTACATGGGAATCCCTCACTAATTAAATCATTCTCCTCTATTGTAAAATGTGTAAAATTGATAACTCATCTTCTAATGTTTAAAAAGTCATAACACAAAAAGTATTTAAATTTAATATTTCAATCAATTCATTCGGTATTGGTATAAAATTTTGAATCCAAAATGGACCATAGCTTATGAAAACCTTACTAAAAATCAAAATTTGATCCATTTGTTTTTCTTAATGCCATAGCATATTACCACTAATTTTTCATTTTTTTTGTTTTAAACGATATACCATGCTAAGTCTAAATTGGGAGCAACTTATTGGAAAAGTTAGGAGGGCTTACACGACTAGAATCACAAGGCGATGGTTGATGAACAACAAGCTCTATGTTTTTCTCGTCGACATATCTTCTTTCAGTAAACAATTCCTGTGGTTTTGGAGAAGCAAAACCACATGATGGCTCCAAAATTTGAGAAGTTTCAACTCCATCAATACACTACAAACACAAACAAAGAAGTTTCATCAGTTTAGTATCCAAGAAAAGGCACACAATAAAGTAATGGAAGGGTTTGTAGAACAGAATATAATATATTGACCTGAGAGTAAGCCTGATGATCCTGCAAACACCATGTATTGTTGGGATCTATATTCAAATACTCTCCTTGACAGCTTCTTTGCAATGACTGAAAAAATAGAATCCACATATTGTCTCTATCTTAAGCAGTACGGACATATACACAAACATGGCATGTGATATAGTGATTTCAAAAAGGATAAATTACACTGACCTTTCTTGAGTTTTAGAGAAAATACAACAAGTCCTACAGTTTTGACATAATTATACTAACCTCATTTTCAGTAATATTAATGAGATCAAAACTAATGCAGATGGTATGAAGACACAAAGATAGGTAAAACGTAATAATGTTATTTTTTTCATTCGTACGACTGATTTGATGAAAAGGGGACCAAATATTATATGAATTAAAATCTTAAGGGAACCCAATGTAATTATGTCAAATTTGTAACCCTAAATGATTGGCCTGGTGGTCAAGGCTTCGGGTTTTGGAAGTATGCTCCCCTCCAAGGTTTTAAGTTAAAAACCTCTTACGTGCAAACAATTTATTAGAGGAATCAATCTATATGAGGCTTTACCTTGGCTTTAATTAGAACCACCACAAGTGGACGGTAGGATTGGTTCTATGGATTAGTCAGTCCTTTGGACCGAATACTGAATTATCAAAAATTATGTCAAATTTATGGGACTTATTGTATTTTTTTCTAATCTCAAGGGAGGTTAGTGTAATTTACTTTTTCAAAAAAATGAGGACTCAAACAAAGGAGGAACATGACAATAAAAAAAATATTATATATATGTTTAATTGCTATAAAATTAATTTTACATCCACAAATAATTAAATTAACAAAAATTATTACTAATTCAATATTTAAAAAATAAATCTCACTGTTATATTATATCTTGTCGTTCATGTTTTCTTTAATGGAAGAACAATTAATTATTTATATAAAGTAAAAAGTAATCGCCATTCAAAATCTAACCTCCATCAAATGCATTAACAAACAAACAAACAAACAAAAAAGATTTAATTGGTGTGTCCCCAGGGTATTTGCTCGAAATAAATTAATTAAATAACAGGACACCTATTCAGGGTCAACACTGATTTTTTCAAGGTCCAAAGTGGACTTTTAACAAGGGACCTTCATACATATTTTTTAAAAAAATAATTATGAGTCTAATTTATTTTTATTTTTTTCTTGTATATGACAGTACTCGTAAAAAGGTTATTTCCAGTATATATATCTATTAAAATTTATTTAAATATACGTTAAAGTTTACAATAAGAAAATGACCAAAATAATATAAAATGAAGTATCAAATAAAAAGTAAACAAAATGTAACAAAAATCACTTAAACATCATTTTTCTGGCATTTTTAACTATAAAATTACTAATCTAGTTTGCATAATCCAACTTATAAGCTAAATAATTTTCAATGGATAAAATTGGTAATTTATTTAATCTTTCATTTGACATAGTTGAGTAAAGGTAAGATTTAATTAATTTTAATTTGAAAAGAATAATTGCAAGTAGTATAATTAATCATATTCTATATATATATATATATTTTGATCGGCAATCATATTCTATATATAAGCTATACATTTGGAAAATAACTATTCAATAACTTCAAACAATTCACCATATCAATTAGTTTTAAATCATAACTGAATTTTGTCTAGGCCTTTAAATTTCAATGAGATTTTTTTTTATAGGTTAATATAATAATTAACCAAATTTTGAAGCCTTTTTTAAGTTAATTTTCCGGGGCCCAAAGCGACAACTTCCCCGACTTGTATCCAGAGCCTGCCCTGCACCTATTGGCGTGTCCCATACTTGTCCCAATGTCTAACTCCACTACGGCAGATGTTTCAAAGTGTCGGTGTTTCATGGTCTCTTTCATTACCTTTGCCATTAGGCACTCAATCTGTTCAGTCTATTCTTCTTATCTATGAAACCATGTCACATGTAAGGAGGAATATCAGTTTGATCGACACTTTATTTAAAAAATATGGGACAATTGTGATTTGTTATCATTGCTGATGAAATGACATTAATTTAAGTAGATTTTAAAAAAGAGAGAGGATTTATTTCGAAGTATTAAATCACCTCGTAAAGTTCGTCTGAAATAAGTCCCATTCCATGAGCAAATGGGATTGCATAATTGCGGTCATTAGGAGTTGTAGATGGGTTGCCAAGTAAGTATCCCTAAACCATTTCAGAATGAAAAGAATTATTCATATATAAAATTTATGGAAAAAAATAAATAAATCAATAAATAACAAAAATAATATGATAATATCATTTTTGTAAACAAATTTATCTTCATAAATGTATAATTATGCATGAAAATTTTATATGATTTTTTTTTAATTACACTAGTAATCCTTATGTGGACCCTTGTATCATTTGTACTTATACTTTTATTTGATTCTCATTTTAAATTTTGTGTCAAATTGGTAATGCCATTATGGTTTTTTACGAAAACTATCTCTAAATTGGTTGATGTTTACTCATTGAATTGATCATGTATACAATTATGCCCCTGAAAGTATGAGACATTCCACTCATGTGTTTTGTTTTTATAAAATAATGCTAACAGTTGTAATCAATTAAATCAAATTGAGACAAAGCAAAAAATTCATAATCAAAATCGAGACAATTAAAATTATAAAAACTAAATGTAGACTACCAATATAATTTGCCCCACACCTTTAGAATCACAAGAAAATGCTTCGTAACTTTGTGAAGCATTAAAATTTAATTCTCATATTTCTATCAACCCAAAAGATACTATATAAGTGGCCTATTTAGAATAATGTTATATGCACCAATTAGTATATTAACTAGTGTACCAATTGATAATGTGTCATAATTTAAAAAGTTTTTGGTATTTATAATGTAATTAATGCGTGAGATCAATAATAATATCATAACTAGTGTTAGTACAATAGTTAAAATATTAATTAGTACATGTAACACCACTGGCCTAGTTATTGTAACAGAAAAGAGATATAAGAGGTACAAACCTTGAGATTGATAAGAGGTTTAATGCCTGCTTCGTTTCCTGCGTTGCAACACAGTACACTTGATTAATCCCTTCTTCAAATCAATGCATATAGCATTATTTTTTTTTTATTTCTATTTTCTTTTTTGGAAATTACAAAAAAATAAATAAATAAATAAATTCCAAAGTTTGACCTCAATAATTAATTAAACCAAAACTTTTTAATTATTTAAATCCTAAATTTTTAAAATAGTATCAATTTGTTACTGGGTAATTTTCACCAATTTGAACATATATTTATGTTACATGGAATCACATAAGAGTGTCTAGTCAGGACCAGCCCTCAACCTTTTGGGCTTTTTGGGACCCGAGTCAGACTGTGAAGATGCTGTTGGAAGAGGCACATTGGGTTTAGTTTAATTCAAGTGTGAATTCGCTAGTTAATTGAGGGTATTCATGTGTAATTCGTTTTTGTCATCTTAATGAATTGTTTTGTGACTTTGGCCTGTGATTTTTGTTCATTAAGGTGCTCCAATTGTGATTTTTTTTTCACATTAAATCGTTATACCTATTTGTCGTTGATTGTTTGATTGGAATTGATATTCATTGTTTTAAATTGAAATATAATCATGAATCAATATCTCGAGGGTTTTTCAGATTTTTCATGTATGATTTACTCGAATTACTTAGATATGCCCGTTAGATGTCTAGCTACACATATCAATGTATACGTTAGCAGCAAATTGTAGAGTTGTACCAATAGAATTTCTGTAAATTTTCTCTCGCTCATCCTTTACTTTCTTACCATTTGATATCAGTTGAACAATAATTGGAACAGTAATGCCTGTATACGAGTCTCCACCCATGTAAACTGGATTTGAGAGGAAGTCTGGATGATCAATCAACCACTGCAAAATGTTTTCAAACAATAAAATTATATATATATTTTTTTTAATTCTAAAATTATGTACATCTGGCTTATGCTATGAACTGTTCTTCATTTACTCTCCAAAAGCCACTCTAAAGCATTGTTTCATGTTGCTTTTATTGGAGAGTTAAAAAGGTACCTTTCGGAGAAATTCATAAGCTTGGTCACATGATTGCAAATCAGTAGATTGAGAAGCAATTGATGTCATTCCATAGGAGAATCCAGTACCAACAGGCAAGTCTACAAAGATTATGCTTGCCACCTGATATTTATCATTGTATTATGATCAAATTAATGCTATCATATGTGCGCATGCACAGAATCATTGGAGGAAACTCGCTTCTCTCCCGTCAATTTGACTTTCAATCCAAATTTTTGTGAGAGGACAAGTGGATCTCATTGTGGGATTCATTTTCCCTCTCACAAATTCGTCTCCAATCCATCTCATTTGGAAATGGAATGGGCTGGGCATTGTTGTTGAGTCCCATCAGGGGTCATTCTTCGAAGTGAGCCCCTGTGTGTAGATCATTCATAAAAAAATAAAATAAAATTTATCCTAAAATCACAATTATGTATTTATCTTTTAAAAAAAATACCATATATGCCTTTAAAAATAAATCATCTATTTTTTGAAGATAAACGTGATGAAATACGTTATTATAATTAGTAAATCAATTTGATTTTTTTTTTTTTTAGACAAACTATGGTTGATGTTAAGGTAACATATAACATTTTAATGCATTAGATAGTTATATATAGTTGCTCTTTAAAGCATATAAAACTAGTATGACAATAATAGCCTCAGCCTTCGTATATTCTATCTACCTTCGTCCATGAGTTTGGATTCAAGACTAAAGTGGGCAAACTCCCTTCTTTCTGGTTGGCCTCAAAATTTAGTGGACCTGCAAATTAGTTAAGCCATTATATATTCTCAATAAATCACCAATTCAAATCGATTGGGCACCTTTTTTTCTAAATTTTTTTTTATTCTCTGATTTTATTTCCTTCAATTTTGTTTCCTTTTTTGTTTTCTGCACTATTCACTCAACACAAATCCCTTAGGATCAATTATTTTTTTACATGTATACATGACTAGTGAGGAACATAAAAATTGTACAAAGAGGGCTAAAGTGTAATCATTTAGAATTTGTAAGGGTGCCGAAGTAAAATTATGAGATTGGCTTTCTTCCAATCCGTGATTAGATTAAAGGGTGTTGTTGGACCCGTAGGGGCTTACCACAGGTCCCATTTCGATAATTTAAACTGTTCGATGTATAAAAATCGTCGAGTACTATATGCCTGTAAAAAATCACGTTGACCAGATATCAATAGCTATTTCATCGGATCAGATTTCTATCAACCGTTTATTTTTTCACCTTCCATTTTTTTTTTTTAAAAAAAAAAAAAACTAATTTGATCACGTAGTTATCAATATCCAATCAACGTGATTTTTTACAAACATGTAGTACTCGACGAGTTCTACACATTAAACGGTTCAGATTATCAAAATGGGATCTTTGATGAGCCCTCACAGGCCTAACCGCACCCTCCAGTCCCATCACGGACTGAAGGGAAACCCTAAGATTATATGCATGTTAGTGGGACCAAATTTTATATATATATATATATATTTAAATACTCAAAATTGCATTGGGAGTGAGATTTTTCAAAAGCTTCGAGCATGATAAAATTACTTATATTTGGTGGAACGGTAGTAAAATTGTATAGATTTTATAGGGGTCAAAATAGTTTTTATTTTTTTAATTTTTTTTTTAACACTAGTTAGAATTGTAGGAAAAATGAGAAGATTGTATTAATTATTGAGGGTAAATTACAAATACACCCCTTAAAGTTTACTTAAAATACGAATTATTTTTGTGATTTAAAAAATTACAAATATTCCCTTATTAGAAATTTTTTATTTATTACTTTGAGTTGCACCCCTCCATATTTGTATAATTTTATTTAATATTTTTTATTTCTATCCAACTATTGAGTAATTTCCCTAAAAAGAAAGTGTCTATATTGGTGATTATGGGTGTGCGCGGTTCGGCCATTTTAGAAGTGAAATTATGAAGTAAATCGTGAATAGTGGATTGATAAATAACAAAATCACAGTTTGGAGCGGTTTCAATTTATTAGTTGATTGAAAAATATTTTTAAATAATTATCAATCATTTGTATAATATTTTTCATATATATAACATAAATTAATTTTACATAATGTTTTTCATATATATAACTACTACTAATGTTTATTAAAATTCACATCTTAAATCTCACTCACACTCATTTTTATTTTTATATTTCATTAGATGTTAAAAAAAATATATGTATTAACTCTAATAGAATGGAACGATTTCAAAAACGGAACCAATAAATCAAAACAAGTTGATACGATTTTAGCGACATTTTATACAACCCTAATGATAATACCGTAGAAAAGTTCTGACTTTATTCTCTTATATTCTAAAACTTGACATAAACAATCCAACAGAGATAGACGGCACACACAAGGTGCAAGTGCATGGAAGTGCAAGAGATTCGAGAATTTTAGTAAAGGTAGATTATAATCAGTGATTATAAGATCACTAGGTCAAACTCAAGATTTAAAAAAAGATTTGAGATAAAATTTAACAAAAATGTTCGGATCACAGATGTTGTACTAAAATTTTTACGAAACTTCTCATGTGATATGATTCCACAGGGGTGTGGGTATGTGTATTTCGTAATATTTGGGATCCTTGTTTGGAAAGTGACTAAATATAATAAAAAAATCATTATAAATTGTCTCATCACTCTTTTTTTTTTTTTTATATCTTTTCGTAAACAGTCAATTCAATTCCCACACTCTAAAGATTGTTTTGGATATAATTTATAAATTGTTTTTTTTTACTTATTACAAAAATATATATATATAAATAAAATTAATATGATAAAAATAAATCAATAAATAACTTATTTATAATATTGTCAAATCTAATGCGAAGAGTCGATGTATGGCTAAGATTTGACTAGGATTTATCCCATCCAGACGAACCAATTTACGGCCACAGTTGGACCAACGAACCGATTTACAGTCATGGTCAAACCATTGAGCTAGTATATGGTCATGGTCCAACCAATGAGAAAATAATAGGAAAAGAAAAATGATTTAGACCTCTGAAAAAAGACCTCTAATGAAGCTCTAATTTGTTTTTTTCTTCTCCTTTTTTTGTCTTCTACTTCACTGTTGTTTTTTTTTTTTTTTTTTTTTTTTTTTTTTTTTTTTGCTGGACAGCTCTAATTAGAGCTCTGCAGCAGCTCTAATTAGAGCTCTGCAGTAGCTCCGATAGAAAAATAATCAATAAATTCTATTTTACTATTAAGATTACTATTAAATCTTATCAAGTTTGAATATGAAGAATTAAGATCTATTTGTCATAAAATATTTTCAAAAAGCTTATTTCTTCATAATGATATATTTTATCTTAATTTTACGCTTCTCATTTAATATGAACAATAATTTATAAATAATTTTAACTTAATTAAAATTAAAAAATATAAGTAACAATTGGATCAAAACAAGTTTAGTATAAAATGCATCATTTTTTATTATTTCCAATTATGAATTTTATTTAGTATAAACAATTTAAAAAGTTTAAATTCTATTAAATTTCCAAAGAGTTATGAAAAATAACACTATGGCAAATTTATATATTTCTCAATACATGAGATAGTTGATGTGTTTTTGTTTATAAAAATTCATTTAATTAAACAATTAAAAATATTATTATTATAAAATTTTAAATAAATTAAAATTATTTATGAATTTTTTGGCTCATATTTTAATGAAAGTTTAAAATAAAATATACTATTATGAATAATTGAATTTTTTTATAAGAATTTATAAAATAAAAAATAAAATATAAAGGGTTTGTCAATTGAAATTTGATGTAACTCAATAGTTGTTTTTGAAACAAAATAAAACTTATCGATAATTTTTTTTATTGTGGTTTATAATTTTTAAGATTAAAAAAATATAATTTTGCTTAGATTAGAAATATTTATGAAATTATTGTTCATAATAAATGAGGGGTAAAATTGAGATAGCATATACCATTATGAAGAATGAACTTGTTGGGAATATTTTATGAAAAACGCTAAAAATTGATAGATCTCAACACTAATCTTAAAAGTAACATAGGACTTGGCACTTTGGGAAGAGGTTAAAAAAGTCAATTTTTTGGTTTTTTAGCTTTTTTAACCAAAGAAGCCAATTTTTTTTTGTCAAAAAAACTATCCAAAAAGTCAAAAAGTCCAAAAGTTAATTTTTTATCAACTTTTCAAAACACTACTTAGCGGTACTTTGGAAAGTAAGTTAAAAGTTACTTTCTAACTCTTTAGCATACTTTCTCTCTCATATAAAAAAAGTCGAAAAGTAAAAAAAGTTAAAAAGTTCACTTTTAATTATCTTCCCAAAACACCCCTTAGTTATTTTTTATTTTTATTTTTTTGGGTGTATTTGGTTTGATTTTCAAACATTATTTTCTAACTGCTTAATTTTTTGTTTTCGTTTTATTGCTTATTTTTTATTTTTTATTTTTAAAATATATTTAATTTAAATGTTTTTAAAAGCGTACATATATTAGGTTATATTTTATTTTTATATTATTATTGATTTCTATTAATTTTTAATATAGACAATTAAATTTTATTTTTATTACAAAAAAAAAGTCAACAAATGGAGGGAGATTTTTAAAGGAAAAAAAAACAAAAACAAACCGTAGAAAAAGGTCATTTGAACAATTTTTTTTTGGGACATCATAATTTTTTTTGGGTGCATCAGAAAAAGGTCATTTGAACAATCATGACTACTTTTGTTGATCAATGATCATGTTGAACTGTCAGAATGACCTGTTGCTATTAAAAAAGCAACATTGGAATGAAATTACATTCATATGCTAGATTTGGCATAATGGGTTGGGATTAAAATAGTTCAAAATAAAATAAAATAAAATAAGTTAAAAAATTAATAAAATAAAATATGATATTTAAATTATAATTATTTTATTTTTTCTTTTATAAAAGTTAAAAAAATTAAAAATTTATCATAAATAAGACTTTTTAGTCTAGATTAAAATAATTAAAAAACTAAAAAATCAACTTACTTCCCAAATGATGGCATATAGCATATATATATATATATATGATGAGATTAGAGTGTCTTCGGTTCTTCATCGGACTGGACAATTTAGTTTGGTCTATTGGGCTGATTTTTTGGTCATATTTTCATAATTCAAATCGTTTAAATTTTAAGATTTATCGAATATGTTATTCTTCTAAAAAATTAAGTTGATCGGATGACGGAAAATATGTGTTTAGATTAATTTTATATGCACTATTTATTTTTTTACCATATATTTTTTTTTATCCAAAACTGATTCGAACACATAATTTTTATTATTCGATCAACTTATTTTTTTTTATAAGAATGATATACTTAATAAATTTTAAAATATAATCAATTTATATTATTGAAATAGAACTCAAAAATAAAACATCTATCCAGTCTAACGAAGGTTTGACGTATAGTAAATCTGCAACCTGCATTTAGTGGCTGTTTGGCATATGCTAAAATAGCACATGCTATCTTAGCACATTATTCTATTTAAGTCACAATTATCTTATTTTGGGATGCTACCTTTTTAGCCAATTAGTCAAAAAGTTACTAAATTAACCAATTAGCCAATTAGTCATACCAAAAAGTCAACAATTACTGCTTCTCTCTATTTTTTGCACAGCTTTTCGTAATTAGTCAAAAAGTCATTCCAAACATACAAGTTTTTTTTACCTACCTTTTTAGCCAATTAGCCAAAAAGTTACTAAATTAGTCTGTTCCCAAACGACGCCAAGTCACATT